ATCCAGTCACTTTCCTTAGTGCTTTGTGTATGAGTGGGAACAGCAGGTGCGGGCTGCAGGGGACTCGTGGAGCCCTGAATGAGCCTCGCACACCTTCCGAGATCTATCTATCTATCTATCTATCTATCTATCTATCTATCTATCTATCTATCTATCTATCTATCTATCTATTTATTATTTTTTTTTTCTTCAGAGACAGGGTTCTCTCCATGTTGCTCAGACTGGATTTGAACTGAGCTCAAGCAATCTGCCCGCCTCAGCCTCCGAAGGTGTTGGGACTAGAGACCAAAGTGCCCTGGAGAGTTAAAATTTTAATTTTTGAGCCGGGCGCGGTGGCTCACGCCTGTAATTCCAGCACTTTGGGAGGCCGAGAAGGGCAGGTCACAAGGTCAGGAGTCTGCGACCAGCCTGACCAACATGGTGAAACCCCGTCTCTGCTAAAAATACAAAAATTAACCGGGCGTAGTGGTGCGTGCCTGTAATCCCAGCTACTTGGTAGTCTGAGGCAGGAGAATCGCTTCAACCCGGGAGGCAGAGGTTGCGGTGAGCCGAGATCGTGCCTCCAGGCTGGGCAACAGAGGGAGAGACTCCATCTCAAAAAATAATGATAATTTTTGTTCATCATAGACATTTTGGTGTTAATTTCAGTTTTTCAAAATACTGCATTCCTTGTTATTGAAGGTTTTGTTTGTATTTTGTGAGACGGAGTCTCACTCTGTCACTCAGGCTGGAGTGCAGTGGCATGATCTTGGGCTCACTGCAACTTCTGCCTCCCGGGTTCAAGCGATTCTCCTTCCTCACCCTGCCAAGTAGCTGGGAATACAGGCGCCTGCCACCATGCCTGGCTAAGTGTATGTGATGGAGTCTCCCTCTGTTGCCCAGGCTGGAGTGCAGTGGCAAGATCTTAGCTCACTGCAAGCACCGCCTCCCGGGTTCTCGCCATTCTCCTGCCTCAGCCTCCTGAGTAGCTGGGACTACAGGTGCCCATCATCACACCCGGCTAATTTTTTTGTATTTTTAGTAGAGATGGGGTTTCACCGTGTTAGCCAGGATGGTCTCAATCTCCTGACCTCGTGATCCGCCTGCCTTGGCCTCTCAAAGTACTGGGATTACAGGTGTGAGTCACCGCACCCGGCCTAATTTTTGTATTTTTTGTAGACACAAAAAATACAAAACTATGAGAACTATGTTGGCTAGGTTGGTCTCAAACTCCTGACCTCAAGTGAACTGCCCGCCTTGGCCTTCTGAAGTGCTGGGATTACACGCGTGAGCCACTGTGCCTGCCCCCCCCTCTTTTCTTTTTAAGAGATGGGATCTGGCTCTGTCACCCAGGCTAGAGTGCAGTGGCGCAATCCATAGCTCACTGCAGCCTCTAACCTCTGGGCTCAAGTGATTCTCCTGCCTCAACCTCCTGAGTAGCTCAAATGACAGCCAAGAGACACACACTCCATCTGGCTATCCACCACCAGTCCTTTTTTTGTTTGTTTTTTGAGACTGAGTCTTGCTCTGTTGCCTAGGCTAAAGTGCAGAGGCATGATCTCAGCTCACTACAAGCTCCACCTCCCAGGTTCAAGCGATTCTCCTGCCTCAGCCTCCGTACAGGCGTGCGCCACCACACCTGGCTAATGAAGTGTATTCACTCATTTGATGCCCCTGACATGCCTCTGGGTTTGGGACTAAATAGTCACATCTTGCAGAGGAGGAAACTGAGGCACACTGAGGTGAAGGGACCGCCCTGGATCATGCAGTGATGGAGCTGGGACTTGAACTCAGCCCGTCTGGTGCCAGTCTTCATATGTGTAAGTTACTCTTCTGTATCCTCTCAGGCCAGCACCGAGTGTCCCATTTGGGGTTGCTCCTGAGAATTTTCTAGAGAACACAGGTTCACACACGTGCCCATAGAAGTGTAGAATTTTTGTGGAAAGATTCCCAGGAGGCTGGGTGCGGTGGTTTATGCCTGTATTCCCAGCACTTTGGGAGGCCAAGGCGGGTGGATCACCTGAGGTCAGGAGTTGGAGACTAGCCTGGCCAAGATGGTGAAACCTCGTCTCTACAAAGAATACAAAAATTAGCTGGGTGTGGTGGCAGGTGCCTGTAATCCCAGCTACTCTGGAGACTAAGGCAGGAGAATCCTTTGAACCCAGGAGGCAGAGGTTGCAGTGAGCCAAGATCGTGCCACTGCACTCCAGCCTGGGCAACAAGAGTGAAACCTTCTGCCTCAAAAAAAAAAAAAAAAAGATTTCCCAGGAAACCGATCTCATTGTTGTTTTGTGGAGGAGACTGGCTGTTCCCTGAACTTCCCTATTCATGAAAACACAAAGGTATTTTACTTTCAATCCATCAACTCTTGGCTTTTCCCAGGTACCAGTGGGCTCTGAGGAGGCCCCTCCCTGCAGCCCTCGCAGAGCCAGGGGAAGCCCCCAGCTTTTGTTCCTTCCGGAAAACCCACTGTAGTGGCGTGGCCAACTGCCCTGGCTTGCCCAGGACTGTCCCAATTTTAGCATGGAAAGCCCCTCATTGGGGAACCCCCTCAGTCCTGGGAAACCCCGGCCTGTTAGTCACATGTGGGGTCTGCGGCCTCCCTTATGGACCAGGTCTGAGTTTGGGCAGGAGGCCCTAGGCCTTGGCAAAACAGCCTCCTTAGCCTCTTTTCTTCAGTTGTCAAGTGAGGGTGCTGATACCACTCGCAAAGAAACAGAAGAGGCTGGGCACAGTGGCTCACGCCTATAATCCCAGCACTTTGGGAGGCCGAGGCGGGTGGATCACGAGGTCAGGAGATCGAGACCATCCTGGCTAACACAGAGAAACCCTGTCTCTACTAAAAATACAAAAAATTAGCTGGGCGTGGTGGTGGGTGCTTGTAGTCCCAGCTACTTGGGAGGCTGAGGCAGGAGAATGGCGTGAACCCGGGAGGCGGAGCTTGCAGTAAGCCGAGATCGTGCCACTGCACTCCAGCCTGGGTGACAGAGCGAGACTCCGTCTCAAAAAAAAAAAAAAAAAGAAAGAAACTGAGAAGACCCAGGGATGGCTAAATACCCACCCTTGGCCCAGTGTCCAGGCTGGGAAAATGTCAGCTCTTTAATTAATTGATTTATTTATTTGACAGGGTCTTGCTCGGTTGCCCAGGCAGGAGTGCAGTGGGGCAATCGCAGCTCACTGCAACCTCCCACAGTGCTGGGATTACAGGCATGAGACACCACGCCCGGCCACTATCACTACCAGCATTTTCTTTTTCTTTTTCTTTTCTTTCTTTCTTTCTTTCTTTTTCTTTTCTTTTCTTCTTTTTTTTTTTTTGTGACAGAGTTTAGCTCTTGTTGCCCAGACTGAAAGGCAATGGTGCAATCTCGGCTCACTGCAACCTCTACCTCCCAGGTTCAAGCTATTCTCCTGCCTCAGCCTCCTGAGTAGCTGGGATTACAGGTGCCTGCCACCATGCCCAGATAATTTTTGTATTTTTAGTAGAGACGGGGTTTCACCATGTTGGCCAGGCTGGTTCCGAACTCCTGACCTCAGGTGATCTGCCTGCCTCGGCCTCCCAAAGTGCTGGGATTACAGGCATGAAAGAGACCAGGCCTGGTCTCTTTCAGCATTTTCATACTGAATGTCCACAGCTGCTCTGTGAGGTTTTTTTCCCCATATTTTCTGATTCAGAGAGAAGCAGCCACATGTCCCTTGGCCATGGCAGTTAAGACCAGCTCCATGGAGTTGGGTATCTTAGCTCATATGTGTAATTCCACCACTTTGGAGGGCCAAGGCAGGACGATCACTTGAGGCCAGAAGTTCAAGACCAACCTGGGCAACATAGCCAGACCCCATCTCTACAAAAATTTAAAATTAGCCACAAAATTTAAAAATTAACAACAAAAGGGCCGGGCACAGTGGCTCATGCCTGTAATCCCAGCACTTTGGGAGAGTGGATCACGAGGTCACGAGTTCTAGTCCAGCCTGGCCAAGATGGTGAAACACCGTCTCTACTAAAAATACAAAAATTAGCCGAGCGTGGTGGCGGGCGCCTGTAATTTCAGCTACCCGGGAGGCTGAGGCAGGAGAATCGCTTGAACCCGGGAGGCGGAGATTGCAGTGAGCCGAGATCGTGCCATTGCACTGCAGCCTGGGCAACAAGAGCGAGACTCCGTCGTAAAATAAACAAATAAATAACAACAAAAGGTGGAAGATGAGGAACTTGATCAGATATCAAGGATGAGCGGATGACTTAATAGGATTCTTTGCTAAGACTTGGCTGGGCAGTTGAAAGACAAAGTCGAGGACTGGTTATGGCATGGCACAGAAGAAGGGTCAGAGGACGGTCTTTGCTACCTCTCTATGCCTGAGTTTCTTCCTCTGTGAAATGGGGATAATAAGAGCCGCCATACAGGGAGTTGCTGCTAGCATTAAATGAGATAACGTATGTGAAACGCTCAGGCTGTAGACTTCTCAGCAAACGGGCACGACTTGCGGAGTGGGGATTTGAATTCACAACTGGTGGGACGTCCAGGCTGCTACCCTGACCGCTAGTGAGCTTCAGGGGACAGGGCTGCCGGTGATCAGGAAGAGGACAGGAGCAGGTGGGCGAGGAATGCTTCCAGGCAGTGAAGGAGGGGGAATTCCAGCCAGCAGGGCGGAGTCGGCCAGGTAGAAACGAAGGAAAGGAGATAGGACAGGATGGAACGGGGAAGCCACAGGGCAGGGCGTCGGAGGGTTGAATGCTGCCCGGTGCAGCTTTGAACACCGAGGTGAGGACATGTAGCTGTGCCCTAGGGTCAGGACCGCACACGCCTGACCCAATTCCACAGCACAGAGGGCAACTCCAGGATCCGGCCGCGTTGCCCACACACTTCGCTCTCCCGCCCGCCTCTCGCAAGCCCCTCCCACGTCTCCGTCCACCACGTGCTAGCGAATAGCAGAAGCGACAGCGCATCCGGGTGCCGACTCAGCCAATCGCGGCTGAGCGACGAGTGAGCCCCAGGACCAATCAGAGTGCCGCTGCCATGGCCAAAAAAAAAAAAAAAAAGAAGTTCCAAAGGTGACGTGCGAGGAGAACCGACCAGCTGCCAATGGGCGTGCGCGTTTCAGGCGGCCAATGGGAGGAGGCGTCTCGGCGGGGGACGTAGTGGCTGTCCGCAGGGGCGGGGTGGGGTCCGGGTTCGAGCTCTTGTCCCCCGGGAAGGGTGAGTCTGGACGCGGGCGCGGAAGGGGCGCGGCCGAAGGTCCTCAGGAAGGAGGCGCGGGGACTGGCTGCGCTAGACAGGCTGCACTTGGATGGGAGCACCTGGTACCTCGGCACTGCCCCGATGCCGGGTGGGTGCACATTCCAGTTCCCGCCCTTGCTGGCCGGGTTTAGAGGTTTTGAAGGGGGGACATGGGGGCGTGCAGCCTTCCCAGTTGCAAACCTCACCCCGATCCCGTCTTCAAAGCTGGTTCCGGGTCCAGTGGGGACAAGAAAGGAGGAAGGAGGAAGTAGGCTCCCCGAAAGCCCCATCCCCAGGATCTCATCTATAACATGAATAGGTATTAATGGCAAACGCTGATTAAGCACTTACTGTATACCAGGCACTTTCTCTGCCTCCTCGCGTTGAATCCTCCCAGCAATCCTTTGAGGTAGACACTCTTACATGCCCATTTTCCAGATGAGGAAACCAGCAACATGGGTGGAACTAACAGCCCCTTCACTTCCATACTGGCGCCCTCAGGAGCCTCAGGCCCTGGACTGGGGGTATGGAGCTGGACATAAACTGTCCTAGGCTTTGGGGAGTCAACAGGGATTGAGGTCACTCATGGGGGTACGTGTGGGAGAGGAGAATTGTCACTTGAAAGAGAAAGGCCATCACCACGATGAAACTAATAACAATGATGTTATTCTTGTTTTAGTCATATTTGTTATTTTTGTGTGTGCCTATATCAGGGTCTGTGCTGAATGTGTAATATGCAGAACTATATTGAAACATTACAACCATCTTTTGATGGCAACACCCTGAGGACCTCCCTTTTCCAGATGGGGAAACTGAGGCCCAGAATTGCCAAGTGGCTTGCTTGAGTTGACACAGGGAGCTCCAGGACTCGCCTTCAGGTCTGTTTGACTACACCTGCCCGTCTGGTTATTTTGGGGAGGTGTGTTAAGAGCAGATTTTTATTTTATTTATTTATTTATTTATTTTGTATTTTAGTAGAGATGGGGTTTCACCATGTTGGTCAAGATGGTTTCAATCTCTGGACCTTGTGATCTGCCCGCCTCGGCCTCCCAAAGTGCTGGGATTACAGGCATGAGCCACCGCGCCTGGCCCTTTTTATATATTTTTATGTATTTATGTATGTATTTATTTATATTTTTAGAGTAAGGGTCTCACTCTGTCACCTAGGCTGGAATGCAGTGGTGTGATCACTGCTCACTGCAGCCTCCAACTCCTGGGCTCAGGAGATCCTCCCACTTCAGCCTCCTGAGTAGCTTGGACTACAGATGTGTGCCCCTACACCTGGCTAAATTTTAAAAATTTCTTGTACAGGCTGGGCACGGGGGCTCATGCCTGTAATCCCAGCACTTTGGGAGGCCAAGGCAGGTGGATCACCTGAGGTCAGAGGTTCAAGACAAGTCTGGCCAACATGGCAAAACTCCGTCTCTACTAAAAATCCAAAAATTAGCCTGTTGTGGTGGTGGGTGCCAGCCACTCAGGAGGCTGAGGCAGGAGAATCAATTAAACCCAGGAGGCGGAGGTTGTAGTGAGCCGAGATTGCACCATTGCACTCCAGCCTGGGCAACAAGAGTGAAACTCTGTCTCAGAATAAAGTAAAATAAAATAAAATGCCTTGTAGAAACAGAGTCTTGCTATATGGCCTAGGCTGGTCTCCAGCTTCTGGGCTCAAGTGATTGTCTTGCCTCAGCCACCCAAAGTCCTGGGATTAGAGGCGTGAGCCACTGTACCTGGCCAGAGGAGATTTTTATATCGATGTCAGTTTGTGTAAAGAGAGGAGGGTTCAGTGTTATCGTTGATGAGAGATCTAGGTGGGGATGCATACCCCAACCCTGTCCAACAAATGTGGAAAACAAGGCTCAGAGAGGGAATCAAGTCTCTAATGTCATGCCAAGATGGGAGCCCAGGCCTCAGCTGGGGTGGGTGGAAGGTTGAGGAGCTAACGGGGGTCTCTGGGCTGAGACTTGGGAGCTGACAGATTGTCCCCTTTGCAGCTGAGCCACCTGCTGGGAGCATGCCTCTGCGCCATCGGGGGACGACCAGGGGCAGCAAGCCCGTTGGGGATGGAGCCCAGCCCATGGCTGCCATGGGAGGCCTGAAGGTGCTTCTGCACTGGGCTGGTCCAGGCGGCGGAGAGCCCTGGGTCACTTTCAGCGAGTCATCGCTGACAGCTGAGGAAGTCTGCATCCACATCGCACATAAAGTCGGTGAGTCTGAGGTGTTCGGCACCGTGGGAACTGGGGTGTGTGTGCAAGCGGGCAGCTGGGCCCATCCATTCCATTCCATCCACTATCCATCGCCCACCGTCCACCCACCTAATCACCATCGTCCACCCACCCCTTTTTTTGCCCATCCACCCATCCATTCCATTCATCCATCGGCCCACCCACCCATACATCCGATCTTAATCCACACACCCATCCACCCACCCACCCACTCATCCACCCCCACCCCAACCCAAACGATTCATCCATCTATCCATCCACCCACCCATCCACCATCTATCCAATCATCCTTTCACCCACCCACCCATTCCATTCCACCCACACATTCATCCATCCTTCCATCCACCCACCACCCACCACCCATCCACCCACTCACCCCACCACCCCATCCACCCATCCACCCATCCATTCCATTCACCCATCCATCCACCCACCACCACCATCCACCCATCCACCCATCCATCCATTCACCCATCCATCACCCAACCACCCACCCATCCTTCTACACACCATCCACCACCCACCATTCATCCCACCCACGTCACCCAACCATTCATCCATCTATTCATTTCTACCCAAACCATCCCCACCATCTATCCAATCATCCATTCACCACACAACCATCCACCCACCCACCCATTCATCCACCCACTCACCCAACCATTCATCCATCTATTCATCTTACCCACCCGTCCACCATCTTATCCAAATCACCCATTCACCACCCACCTATTCCACGCGATCCATCCACCCACCTACCCACCTATCTACCCACCGCATTTCACATCCTGTCCACCCACCCACCCACCCATCCATCATCAGTCCACCCACCCACCCACCCATCCATCCACCATCACCTTACCCACCCATCATACCCATCCATCCTACCCAGCCAACCCCCCCACCCATCCATCATCATCCATTAACCCACCGACCTTACCCATCCATCCCATCCATCCACCCACCCATCCACTCACCCATCCACTCATCCATCCATCCACCCCCACCCATCCACCCATCCACCCATCCATCAATCATCCATCCCAACCCACCCATCAACCTCCACCCATCATCCTATCCATACCACCCCCCACCACTATCCACTATCCATCCACCCATATCCACCACCCAAATCCATCCTAGCCACCCATTTACATCCATCTATCCCATCCATCCATCCAATTTATCCATCCCACTCATCCACCATCCATCCACCCACCCACCACCCATCCACCTCCATCCACCCCCACCCACCCCACCCATCCACCCATCCACCACCCATCCTCACGTCCACCCATTCATCCAATTCCTATCCTACCTCATCGCATCCATCCCACTCACCATCTCTATCCATCCACCAATTCCACCTCACCCACCATCCGATTCCCTCCACCCACCCATCCATCCACCCACCTATCCACCCATCCATCCACCCACCTATCCACCCACCCATCCATCCACCCACCCATCCATCCAGCCACCCATTCATCCAGCCACCCATTCATCCATCTATCCATCCATCCACTCATCCATCCATCCATCCATCCATCCATCCATCCATCCACCCGTTCATTCGGTGAACATTTTGTAAGCATCTACTGTGTGGCAGCTGCAAATCACTGCCTTTGTAGAGCTGAAATTTTAGTAGGGAAGACAGGAAGAAATAGAATAAATCAGAAAACTTGGCCAGGTGCAGTAACTGACACATGTAATCCCAGTACTTGAGGAGGCCCAGGCAGGAGGATTGCTTGAGGCCAGTAGTTGGAGACCAGCCTGGGCAACATAGGGAGACCTTGTCTCAACAAAACAATTTTTAGACATGGTGGTGCATGCCTGTAGTCCCAGCGACTTGAGAGGCTGAGGCAACAGGATCACTTGAGCCCAGGAGTTCAAGCCTGCAATGAGGTATGGTGGCATCACTGCACTTCAGCCTGGGTGACAGAGTGAGACCCTGTGTCATTAAAAAAAGAAAGT